ATCTCACTACCTTTGCTCCTTTAAATAAAAGCTGCCAAACGGACACATTTTTCACAGTGGTGGAAATGTTTGGTGTATATCCGGGTCTGGGTCTCATTTATCATATGTTCCACACATATTTATGTTTCTGGTTTGGCTTAAATCTGAGCCAAATGCAAGATGTATTGCAGACAAACTTGTCTTAATGCAAATATTTGAAGGTTTATTTTTACAATACATGAAAAGCTATAATTGGTAGCACTCATTATCTGGGAGATTAACGCCTAAAATGTAAAAAATGTGTTAAAGCTAAGCAGGTTTTGTATGTTGTATGTACTGTTTTCTTTGATGTATTTGCTTCCTTTCTGTTTTGTGCACTTATTTTCTGTTCTGTGTTTGTTTTTATTCCTTTGAAACTATTGATTAAATCTGAGATAATGTATGCTGTAATTAATGAGAGTAGGAATGCAGAAACACATCCTGAGACGGAGAGTAAAGGAAAGTTTCCTTTGAACTCACATACAGTACACAATCATCAATATTTTGCCATATGCACACATCTAGATACACACGTCCAAGCTTAAATGCAATCACATATTCAAGCCCTTGTAGTATTCACACCATAAAGCCCAACACACCCTTAAGGTGATGTGTGTTTCAGACCATAGAGATGAGGGTCCTCTGGGTGTAACAGGAAATCCCTGTGCGCTGTGGGTGCGCTGATTTCATTGTTCCCCCCTGGAAACTCCTGGACAAATATGCATGTGTTCCCTGTGAAATCAGAGGAAATGTTCCACATCGCTCGGCATCAGGACACGGGTCCTCAAGGGAGCGCTGGCCGGGATGTCCTGAAAGGTTTGGAGAATTCATTAAATATTCATCTGCAGCATCGAGAGGCTCGTGGGCTAGAAGAAGGTCAACCTGTTATGACTGTAGGGATATAAGGACAGCAACAGTCTACAAATCTTCCATCACAAACTGAAAAGCCAATCGTTTTGGCTAAAAACAAACAAAATAAAATGTTTGTAGTACTTATAATATGTGTCGGCTTATTTGAAGCTAATATGCAGGATTATTGATGTTCTATACTGTTGCATGATTGCACTCTGAACTTACTCTATTGATTATAGCTAAATGAATATTTTCGGCAAAGTGAACGTTCTGGCTTCAGGCTGGTGTTAGAGCACATGTGTCAAACTCAAGGCCCGGGGGCCAAATCAGGCCCATGGTGGATTTAATTTCGGCCCGCATGATAATTTCTAATTACTATTAGGCCCTCGAATAGTACCGATTTTTTTATTTTGACCCACTGTGTATTTGAGTTTGACACCCCTGTGTTAGAGGAAAGTCAAACTTGGACCCATCGGATATTGACCAGATGATACAAACCCTATTGGAGCATGCGCTAATTGTTGGGTGTTCAAATGTATCCAGCGGGCCTAGACCACATTTTTACTGACCCATTAGCAGCTTCAGATGCAAAAAGTAGCCGGTTTACAGCCACAGCTTGTTGCAATGCACTCGTCAATCAGTTCTGAGATTGCCTTTTTGGGGAATGCATTCTGCCTCTTGCTTTCTACACTGATTTTTGGCATGCTACAACCAAAAGTGAAACACTGCTTTTTGGTCAATAGTATTTGGACTGCAAAGCGGAAACGAAAACGCTTCTAAAACCAAAATATGGTAGAGTTTCCAACTGGTCATTTTAGCTTTTTATGCAGAATCTGTACGTAAACATTGAAGGAAAATTGATTGGACGGCATTTGGAGGCGCGTGGCGCAGTGGGTTGTGCATTGGTGTTCGGATCAGGGGGTCACAGGTTCAAACCCTGCTGCAGTCAGAATGTCGTTGTGTCCCTGAGACACTTCACCCCAAATTGCTCCTGTGGGGATTGCCCACAGTATTGAGTATGTAACTTTGGATAAAAGCGTCTAACAAGTAACATGTAATGTAATTTAACATTCTGGTTTGTTTTTTTTTCTTGCTTTTTTTAGGTGGAAATCTCAGTCTGACTAAAAAAGATCAGGTGCTCACCAAAGCAATAAAATATATCCTCAGGGGATCATACCTATGGACGAAGGAGAGAATTTGAGGGAAGTTAATGTCAGGAGGTCGACAAAACAATCATAATTTCTCTTCTGGAGCCTCTTCACATCCATTCTTTAAATCATGTATTTCTTTTTTTAAATGCCCAAACTTTATTGAGCTTCATCGCTGGAAGAAAAAACCTCTCATAATAACCTCAATACACCATTGGTATCCAAACTGTCTCTCTACCCATTTATCTATCTATCTATCTACCTACTGTATCTATCTATCTATCTATCTATCCATCTATATCTATCTATCTCTCTCTCTTTCACTCCCTCCTGTCAACACCCTCCTCTCCCCTCCTCCCCCTCAGGCCACCTCTCTGAATGCTTGTCTGTCAGAATCCTTCTCTCGCTCTTTGTGTTAATCCACGAGTATTGTGCTGTTGTATTGTTGCTTTACTCTGAGCCAGGGATCCCCCCAATCACTGTAAATANGATCAGGTGCTCACCAAAGCAATAAAATATATCCTCAGGGGACCATACCTATGGACGAAGGAGAGAATTTGAGTGAAGTTAATGTCAGGAGGTCGACAAAACAATCATCATTTCTCTTCTGGAGCCTCTGCATATCCGTTCTTTAAATCATGTATTCCTTTCTTTAAATGCCCAAACTTTATTGAGCTTCATCGCTGGAAGAAAAAACCTCTCATAATAACCTCAATACACCATTGGTATCCAAACTGTCTCTCTACCCATTTATCTATCTCTACCTATCTATCTACCTACTGTATCCATCTATCTATCTATCTATCTATCTATCTATCTATCTACCTACTGTATCCATCTATCTATCTATCCATCTATATCTATCTCTCTCTCTTTCACTCCCTCCTGTCAACACCCTCCTCTCCCCTCCTCCCCCTCAGGCCACCTCTCTGAATGCTTGTCTGTCAGAATCCTTCTCTCGCTCTTTGTGTTAATCCACGAGTATTGTGCTGTTGTATTGTTGCTTTACTCTGAGCCAGGGATCCCCCCAATCACTGTAAATACCCAGCATGCATCGGTTCTGGTCTGCTTTGCTGTCACTCACTTGCATTGTCTCTGTGCGGAGGTCCAGACCCTGGTTTCTAAACAAAAGAGGAAGTTGTTTACAGATTGCTCATCAATACGCAGGATGCTCGACATGCCGCATCAGCAAATGAGATGCAAAGAGCGGACTGATGCATGCAGGCAGGCTTTTTACTAAGACAAATATTTTGCAGAGATGGAGCTGCACTGGAAAAACATCACTGGACTAGAATAAATACATCTATTTCCACATTAATTTATTTGTCTATTTATTTATTCCTGTATTTATTGCCTAATTTATTTATTTCTCATGTTTTTATTCATACATTATTTTACTCATGACTTACTGAAGCAGTCACGTGGTATCGACGGGCAGCGAGGCTTCGTTTGTCATCGATGACGTCACTGGCCTAAAACGATACAAGCCTCGATACACGCTTCACCTAAAACTTCCTGGATTACTCGAACCACGCTCCGAAGTGTCGGCGCAGTACGTAACATCACTACCAACACTTTACTTCCAGATTGTCTTCGTGCCATGAGCCTTAGCTTTATAGTTTAAGCCTGTCTGTACCTTCAACCTGTGTTTTTTTTATCCAGCCTGTTTTTCCTGTATTTCAATTTGCTTGCACCTGCCTTTTAGAGTCGTGCTATTGTTTTAGCTTTTTCTTCTGTGAATTGTACTTCAGAAAATATCCTCAGGGGACGAGAAATATGGATTTTGACTGACGGAAAGGTCAAAGGATCCCCAACATAATCATCAGTTTTCTCCTGTGGAGTCTCTGAATATTTGTGCTCCATAGTGATGTCCATTTACATGCACAGAAACCTCTAACACACTAAAGGAAATGGAAAACCCCAAAAAGCATAACAGGACCCTTTCAAATCTTCTTCAATCACAGTCAGATATCGTGTTGACAAACATCATAAACATATATGTTGTGAGAGGTCGTGGGTCGGATCAGATCCCATCCTCTTCGTCTCCTTGTGAAGCTGCCTGAGGAAAACCTCTTCCTGTTGTGGTTCCTGTTTGGGCTTCTGAGGAGCTGCAGTTATTCTAACAATGTTGGCTGATGTGTTCATGAAACAGCCAGAGACTCATGAATCCAAGCAGACCAAAAGGAACGTGTGCGGTAAATCCACTCAACAGGTAGAACAGTCTGTCCAGATACAGCAGCAATAATAGCGGCTTATATGGTTATAAATTGTTGTGAAAATAAAAAATGGGTGTTCATTTGAGTGTTGAATAAATGTAGTGAATATGTGGCTAAAACTGTACTGGAGTAGAAGGAAAAAGGTATAAAATGTAAATACTCAAGTATATTACAATTATGTCTCAAGTATGTGGTACTCGAGTTAATATACTTAACTATTTTCCAGTGTGCATTTACTCAAGTACTGAACTTAATTTTGAGAGACTTGTACTTTAATGAGTATTTCATTTTGTTTTGCTATGTACTTTTACTCCACCACAATTCAGAGGCAAATGGTTTACTGCACTTTTACCAGCTTGATAACACTTTAATGATCAATAATTATAAAACATATCATATATATTATTCTGAAATGAACCAATCTGCACAATGACTACTTTTACTGTCGCTACTTTAACTATATTTTGATGATAATATTTTTCTACTTTCACTTGAGTAACATTTTGAATGCAGGACTTTTATTGTAACAGAGTATTCCTACACTCTGGTACTTCTACTTTTACTCAAGTACAACATCTGAGTACTTCTACTTTTACTCAAATACAAGATTTGAGTACTTCAACTTTTATTCAAGTACAAGATCTGAGTACTTGTACTTTTACTTAAGCACAAGGATCTGAGTACTTCTTCCACCTCTTTCCATCAGTGTAAATAAGGCAGCCTGCTGGTTTTCATGCTTCATCACATGGAGAGGCTTTGTGTATTCATCACAGGGACTCGTGGGTGTCCCTGGCTAATGCCTGGAGGCTGGTGCTCCACAGTAGCGGCAGTCAGCTCCTGAGTGTCCCGGTGCAGTGACTCTGACTCTGACTCTGGGCTGGTTCTTGTGTCTCCACGGCCCCCCGCGGCGCTGCTTTCCATACGGGGCGGGGTGCCACTCAGTGCGGCGCACAGAGCACCGTCACAGCAGCTCTCCCGCACCGACAGCCCGGGAACATGGGTCTGGAGAAGGAAAACATGGATACCAGTGTGTTTATGGACGACGGCGAGTTCAACAGATCCATAGAGCCCATTCTGAAGAAGGGGAAGCTGTACGAAGCGGAACTGGACCGAGATCCGAACGATATTAACGCTCAGTTGAAGGTAAACTATCATCAATGTGCGGGCTTAGAAAGTGAAACTTAGTGACAAAGTAGCGATTGCCAAGATTATGTTTCTACATTAACTTACTAATGAGGTCATATTGTATCTAACACACTCGGTTATGTGCAGCTTGAACACCTGGAAGTCGTGTAAAACCATCATAAAGCCATGGTAGTTGTTTAGCTCACTGTGTGTGCCACTGTGTGATCTGACAGGTTGGTTTTGAAGATGTCATCGCGGAGCCCATCTCCACACACAGCTTCGACAAAGTCTGGATAGGAAGCCACGCCGTGTTTGAGCTGGTGAAATTCATGCTCTACCGGCTGCTCAGCACTCTGCTGGCCGTGCCCATGGCGTTCATCCTCGGCCTGGTGTTCGCGGTGCTCAGCTGCATCCACATCTGGTAGGAGAAGCTCCTCGAAACCTGCAGCTTTCTGATAAGTGTGATGTTTCTGTGGATCTTCTGGCACAGTGCCCAATGTTTTTATAAGTTATTATAGTTTTTAGGCTTCATTTCTTCCCCAAAATAGTATACAAACAAATCATAATAGAGTGAATGGCAGCATAAGCTAAACCTATACATATAATAGCATTGCAAGAGTCCTCTCCAGCTGATGTTCAGGTGTATATCAGTATGTAGTGTCTCTACTTTAAAGAGTCCTCTCCTGCTGATGTTCAGGTGTATATCAGTATGTAGTGTCTCTACTTTAAAGAGTCCTCTCCTGCTGATGTTCAGGTGTA